TCTTGTGCGCTGGGTGAGTGTTTGAGTAACTTGGTGGACGGTTATGCAGTCCCATGTATCAGTTTTGATGTCTAATAGACGCAACCTTTTTAATAGGTTATTTGCATCACTAATAAGATCTTCTATTAGCTCTTGTTGAGTTGGAGAGGAGTTGGTCGAGATGAGATTGGATTGACAGCCAGGAGTTCTCATATCGCTCTATTAGTGTTTCTCTTTCCAGTGCAAGAGAGCCATTTTGTAATGAAAACCCCACGATGACTTTTGTTGCCGAGCCTTCTAGTGATGCACGGAAGTAATGCAATTTTTGCACCTCACTGAGCATTTGGTTTTTCAAGATTATTAATTGAAATAGATCTCGGAATGTAGCACATACTAAATAATCGCCAGAAAATTTGGGAAGTAGAACATTTGGAAGACATGCCACTTCCCTTGATTGATTGCCTTGATTGATCATTGGCGATACGTTTTCCGACGATTTTGTTGTTCTTCGTGACTCATTTAATCCACGACGTAGTTTATTGATAATTCATTGCGATCATATTGGTCGAGTTCTACCCTTAGCGGGTTCTTGTCAAGTATTCATGATTGTTTACCACGGTCGGCTATATCAACTCAAGATAGTTGTGCTCCTTACGAAAGGCCTTGTCTAATTCCTCAACTTGTTCCTGTACGGCTAGGACTTCTTCAATGAATGTGTCCGAGTGAGACGAGGCAAGCCTTTTCGCTAGCGCCTTTATTGTAATTCGCTGTAATTCGATTCCACTGACTTTGAGCCTTCAAAAGTTCTGCTGGTGTGATAGGCACTTCAGGATTTGTATTTTCCTTCTTCTCGCGGTTTGGCATTTTCTCAATGATAAAGCAGTATACTAGAAGAAAAACAACGAAATACTTTCACCGATGAGAAGATTCGTTAGTACGTTGTGATGCAGCTATAGTGGTGCGTCTTTGTTGTGTAAATACTGAAGGGATGCACTAACTTTCATGTATCTGGTTCAAAGGACGAAATGTTGAAAAATCCAATCACCCTGTGATCGAAGTACCAAGATGGATGGATTAGACCATATCCAACAGTTTAATAATAGGAAAGTATGATATGCTAGGTCATAAATCTCCGATCCTGTTGATGTAGTGCGCTTGGTGGTGGGTTACTGCACTGAGAAGTGAGAGGTCGTAAATCTCTGGACACTCTTTAGTATAGTGCTACTTGATGGTGTCTAGTTGCGAGTCTTCTCTTGATTTTCTGTGGTGTGGAAGGGTGAAGCAATGGTTCGATACCTTAATGTGGCAATTGTTATCGAGTGCTATGGCACTTATTACTAATGAGTGCAATGGCACTGATTTTGATGCAGAGTGCAGTGACGTCTTGATACAGAATATAGTGACGTCTTGATACAGAATGTAGTGACCGGTATGTGCGCTTGAGCTCACTGCTTGTGGATATAGACTGAGAGAATACCCTCACACGATGCTTGAAGATTCCTTTATTCTTAGTCTTAGAGGTTGCTACTACATCACTTCTATGGTTCTCAAACAGTATTATAGTGGATCACAGTGTTGTTGATTTCTTCTTCCGACTCCTTTTCTAGTCGATGAGTTACTTGAATACATTTACAGCGTGTTCGCTCCGTGGTAATAGCAGTTAAATACGCACACGAAGCTGAAGGCGTGTTTATTCCATGGCGGTCCTGCTATGACATACCGTGATGAGTGACATGGCGTCTTCACTAAGAGAGCCTCTGTCTTCTGCAGCGTCCCCGGTAAGACAGCGAGAGACTTGTCGCGTGTTTGCTTTATATCCTTTATACAGTTTAGTTACCTAGCAACAATGGAAAGATGTTGCTATGCGGTAAACATTGCAGGACATTCGAGAGTAATACTCTAGAAGTTTTGAGAACTCCGGGAAAGCACAAAATAAACAAAATAAACAAAATATAATATATTACAATAAAAGTTTATAAAGTTTGTTAACGCTCTGGCTTAACCGTAATCAAGTTTCGCGTACATTTAATTTAATTTTCATTTTTAACTTATTTGCAAGAAAATAGATAAAAATAGATAAAGGAAATTATAATTGTGAATATAAATATACGATAAAAAATGTCTTGTTTAGAGATTTATCCATTTTACTAATTTGTTTAAAATTTTAATAACAGTGCAATACTACTGTACAACATGTATTCGCCGTTCCAACTTGTCTTACCAAGACCGGTTCGAAGGATAAAAATTGATGCCGTTGACAACTCCGAGATCACGGATGTAGTGTGATTGCGATGAAAGGTCACAAGTGGAAGGGATATTATAATAATTCAATATAAATATGGCTGGTGTACGCTGTTTATTCTGTTATTTATCCGTTTACAAGGCTTGACTAGTATTACTATTATTAATTATTGAAATAACTCTTGAGGTGGATTAATGCGTTGGCAGTGGCAAATCGTGCACTCGTCTATGCAGCGTGATGGTTTGAATATGAATGTAGAATGGCGCGAAGTGTGCTTCGTCGACACTCGCGCTGTTTGAATGAGCACGTGCGTAGTTGAGGTTACGATTGTTATGGAGAGCGACACAAGTAACTGGTGTTATTTGAGATATACTTGTATCGTAGCAAGCATACAGTACTCCTGATTTTGACGTACTGCAATAAATTCAGATAGAAATAAGAGTTTGAAGAACCTCGTGAAGGATACTGGTATGTGTTGCGTCTGCTATGAGCGGCGAATGGTGCGCTGCATAGATTTGTAAACGTCAGACTTTGAACTAAGGTGTGATATACAATTGCTCGATCGATAGATACCTAATCCTTTTTTTTTGTTTCACATATGCCTATACGCGAATTAATAGTTTGCGTCTTCAAAATCATTAAAGTGCATAATTGCTATAAATTTCGGCTTTAAAACAATGTATATTTACTTAGAATTAGGTAACAAATTTTAATATGAACTAGTATTTTATTTAAGTTTAACAGTTGCTTATTTTCACGCTTATTCATATTATAGTTCTTTCATTTGTTTTAATTTTTCAATATTAATTACGAAATTCAAATAAAGAAAAATATTTTTGCATAATATATGGCTATTATTTTTAAATTGAATAACTAATCTTTGTATGATTATTAGAACTTTATTACTAAAATACAATATAAACAAATGTTTTAAAAATATCCTAAAATTGCAAACCACGATAGTTTATTCAGATTTACACAGATAATTTATTGTTAAAGAATAAATTTATTAAAGTAAATTACAATGTTATTAATTTAATTGCAGACAAAAATTAAATTAAAAGATATATAAATAATTATTAATAAAGTAAGATTTATATATTATTTATGTTTAATTAATATTTAAATAATTAACCAATTTCATAAAGAGTTTGCTCTCATCAAAGTTGTTTAGAAGGAAGCTTTATTCGTATTTTGCATACTGGTTTCAAGAACTCGAGTATTAAAATGAATTGACAAGCATCTCTAACTTCAGATCACCATTGGAACTAAACAAATGCTGCTGTTCAAAATTAAATTAGAAATGCATCGGATGAATTCATATAGCTTTAAGGGAAATTGAATAGTAAAAGCTGTTTCTTTGAATTGTAACTTAGTAATAATTATGAAATAATATTTGAAGTGCCAAACAAAATAACTACAAGTAAATGAAAATTAATTAAACTATTTTATTAATTAGATTTATATCAACACAATTTAAAATTAATCCTTACTGAATATTTAGTTGTTTTAATTTTTATCCAATATATATATATTACTGAACATGTTATGAAAATTTAACCAATATTTTATAATTTTTCTTTTCAATTAATTTTCTAAAAGCTTTCTAATTTTCACATTATTTCAGCTGGAATTTTAATATTGAACATAATAACATTTTAATATTTTAATTTACGATACGCATGTATTATAGGTATACCATAATTTATGTTTTATTTTCTTATTTATGGAAACATACTTTTAATGATAAATAAATTAAAATTGTAATTTTAATCTTTCTAAAAAAATAGAATCTTGTGTCATTATTTAAGTTTCCAATTTAATGTTAATATTATATATGTAAATTAAAAAATTATTTTTTGATGTTAACAGATTTTATAAGAATTATATATTTCTGTATATTAAAAACTACAAATGAATATAAATTTAATTTAATAATAAATTTTATTTATGTGAGTGTGTAAATATAATTTATACTAAAAAAAGAATATTACAATTATCAAATATTTGTGAACAAAAAAATATTATTTAATATAATAGAATGATAAGTAACATTAAATTAATGTTATCTTATTTCAATTCAAATCTACCTTCTTTGATTTGTTAGACTCATTCATACTGAACAAAGCTCCAACTTACATTTTATTTAATAATTGCGATTCTTAACTAAATGATTCAGCCAATCATTCTTTCATTTTTAATACTCGTCTGAAATAATGTATATAATTACGAAAAGAATGTTCATTCTTTTTGTATACATATTTTGACTTTATATTTTTACCCATTATTGATATATTGTAATTATAAGATTATTAAACTGTTATTCCTAAGTTGTTTTTATATCGTTTCTTGATTCAATCAGCAATTGAAATACATTAAATAAATTTAAGAGGAGTAAACATAAGCTCTTTGTACATAAGTTGTTCGTAACTAGTTCTTATATATTTCTTTATTGCAATTACCTTTGTAATATATTTATAGTACAAAACAGTGGCCTATTATGACGTCTATTATATTGATTATATAAATATTAGGTAATTCAGATTAGACAATAAATCTAACTTAATATTATTTTGATTATTATTAAGATATATTTAATATATAAATTTAGTTGTCTTTATGAATTAACTTAAGGTTGAAATTATTTATATATAATTGTCTATCAATTTGAAAGTAATAAAAAAAACTTATTCCTTTTGTAAAACTATCCTTCATATTGAACTAATTATCTTTAAATTTCAAATCATGTAGAATAATAAGTAATATATTTATATGATAGATCATCAAAACAGATATGGACAGGATTGCAAACTTGACGTTGTAGATGATACGTGTGGATTTAATGGAAGATGCAAGCAGGAGAATGATAAGACTGGGGCAAAATGTACGTGTCAACAAGGATACATGTACATTAACCGTGAATGTAAAATGGTACAACGTAAGGCAACAACACTCATTACTGTTACATCAGATTCAATTCCAAATGAAACAGAAGAAGGTAACCAGTTTGAATTTTAAAACTTTAAGTAGTCACAAATCATTGAAAATATATAGTGTCATAATAGTAATTAAATAAAAATATTAAATATTATTTAATAATAATAATAATTATTATTTATTTAATGTTATCAATGAATTTATAATATCTGTTTGAAGTATAATATCTTTAGAATCTATCTACACTTATATGTATTTATTAAGCAGTCTTTTAATTTATTCTAATAATACCTAATTATTGTTTTTCGAATTGAGAGAACAATATCATGATGTATGATCAATCATTATGTGCAACAGCATAAATTATATATACTAAACTATAATGAGTTTAAATAAAAAAAATATTTAAAACAAATTTAATATCGAGTTTTAAATAAAATGTATAAATTATTACAATAATACATTCCATTAAAATAATTTCTAAATAAAAGATTAATTCAATCGAATTGAATGTCCTCTTATTCTTAAAATATCGTAGATATAAATAAAAATAATATATTGTAATATTTATTTCTAATCACTGATTTTTAATTAATAATCTAATTTCATTAAAAATTGTTTATCTTATATGATACTTTTTATCTTGTGATAGTTGATAAATCTTATACAAACAGATCATTAACTATTAGAGTATTCAAAATTATGTAAATATTCATATTGGTATTTTCATATTGGTAGAGTAGACCATTTTAATTCTTTAAATCTACATTACTATAAAGGGTATGAATACTTTTAAACAATGCATTTGTATAATTTTTTCTGTTGATTTATACAGATTAATAAATATTTATATTATCCCTTATGTATAATAGTATAAACAACCAATTACATCAAATATGACAGATTTTGGCACAATTACATTACATCACACAGTATTGATAATATTCTAACGTATTAAATGTGAACGTTGTGTTCAAATATTTAATTAAAATAATATTTTAATTTATGTAGATAATTATTTTAACCGTGATATATTTTGCTGCAACTTCAAATAATTTCAAACAGATATTAACAACTGTAAAATGAGAAAAATTTTTTCTAAATAACTATTGAAACTGATGATGTATATATATATTTAATTTTATACTTTTAGAGATTAGTTAATTTAATATTTATGTACCCTTTTTTTAACGCTATTTTTGTATAACTATACATTGAATTATCAATGATACAGCATAGATACGATAGAATTAAAATAAGTATATATTTTCTTTTGATTCGAATTGTGTAATATTTTTTATTCATTCTTTTTAATTATTTATAAAGTAAATATTCTTTATAAGTTAAAAAGATCTAATACACGTTATAATTTCTAATTATATAAAATTTTTAATGAATAAAATATTATGTTTAATTTATGCTTTTTCCAGGTAATTCCATAGCAGTTATCTTCCTTGTGCCGACTTGTCTCATTATAATCGCTGCTTTATCGTACTTCGGAGCACAACGATATAAGTGGGTACAGCGATTTCGGCAGTTTCATCAGAATCGTTATGGCAGTGTTCTAGTAACAAGGGGTGACAGCGATGACGATGATCCACCAATTGCGTAGAATTTCTGTGTGTACATTAAGAATGTAAACTAGCACTATGTGACAGATATTTTTTGCTGTGTCACGCCTTTGAAATTCTGAGAAAATAAAATGCATGGCAATTTATTATATCAAACAGGACACGGGTGAAAGTATTTCTGACATTATTTTGAAGCCATGGCTTATAATAGTCAAACAAGGGAAAGTTTGCGTACAGCAAAAAGGCCAAATGTAAAGGAGTTTCTGTGAGAGGCATAGTTTTCATGATGAAATAATATCGAGACTGTTTAAAATTTTAATAATTAAATTAAATTGTCTCGCATAAGTGGAAAGATTTTGTATAATTGTAAAAAAGAAAACTATTGCTTCCATAGTTACTTGCGTTATATTTATATACATCGATAGTAAACTAGTAAGCAAATATATAAATACAAATTAACTAGAAATTGCATTTAATATAACAGTGGAAAAGAATGCGCTAATGATATAATTTTTTAATAATTATTATTAAATAAACAGGTCAGTAGTTTGTTATAATGTTTATACGCTTTAAGAAAAATAATATGGTAATTAAATCATTAAATATTTTTAATATAGTGCCGGCAATCATAAGCAATTTATAAGCATCCAATTTTTACAATTGTAAGATAACAGTTTTAATTTAATTATGAGAATTATGATATGTATTATTTGATTATCAATATAGCTGATATCATTAAGTTACAAAGAAACTAAAAAGTAAAAGAAACCTATATTGATAATTATCTCTGTTTCTTCCAAAGCCTTAACCAGATTTTTTTTTAGGAAAGTATGAAATAAACATCACGACGTTATTTTTTATATATATGACAAAATAATTTGGATTCAATTAATTATTTAAATATCATCAACTTTTGATTATTAAGTTGATATTATTTTTATAGAATAGCTCATAAACAAACGCTTATATTCTGTCAGATAACGTGAATTGTTAGCTTTTGAAGTTGTTTATATCGAATCTATTTTAATAATTTAATTCTATTTATTTTATTGTTTATAAATTGAATAACAATGTAAATAATTTTTTTTATGATTTCGAATATATTTTATCGTGTTACAAGTTTGTCTACATACCATAGCATGAATAAGATGAAAAATTCTTTTATTATCTATACAACTAAATTGATTAAAATATTATTAGATACCAATTTGTTTAAGTAACATACAATCACAATTGTTCTTGTATTTTATTATTGTTATTTGATATAGTACAGAACACTTTATACATGGAATGATGAAAATTATCATTCTTATAATGTTTAAAACATACAAAGAACTATAATAACGTATACAAGATGAATGAAATGAAAAAGCACAATTTACTATTTTATATTTTAATAATTTGTTAAGGGTATATTAGAGGTACGAACAAATTTTTATTACATTATATTTTGAATATATTAATAAATTATGAGTAACGTAAGTACACTTTTTCAATACAATCGCTTTACTCTAGTATGATTTTATTAAGCAGAAAAGACAACAATGAGAAATACTGTAATTTTTTATAAAATAGAATTCTAATATATTAGCATTCATCTTCTGATATTCCCTTAAATACAACTGTGCAATGTTTTTAACGAATCTTCTTAACTACCAAAGAAAACATTTTCATTTACGAAAACATTTACATTTATGTTATTAATATTTTAATATTTACGTTTGGAGGAAGTCTTAAACTGCATTGCACATTGAATTTATATTTTGAATTTCATATATAGGTATAGCAGTAAGTAGATATATTGCATAATTTTATAATAATTACAAGAGGACCAGATTTTACAAATTAAAAATACGAGTACGAGATTGTGTATAAAAAAGCCTTATTAACTTTGCGAAATAGAGTAGTTGAATCTAGTTTTAACATTTTCATTTGTTTGTTAATATTCATTACATAAAATATTATAATTAGGTAATTGATATCATAGAATTCCTACTACCTTTTGCGATGTACTGATGCCATATAATAAGATTTTCAACTATTAAACTTTAAACAAAATTAATTTAGAATTTCTACACTTGTGATAAATGATGTAGTTTTGTAAATTTTATATATATTTTATTCTGTGATGTACAATATATTTTTTTTGATTGGCAAATATTAATTATTTTAAGATTTTAATATAAATTTTATCATTGTCAGTTGATGTTATATATCAATCAATTATTTGATATAGTATCAAAATTTATAATTATAAGTTGTTTTAAATATAAAAGTTTTACTTAATTTTATTAGATTTTTGAGATTAATTATCCATGATGATCACTACGTGATCATTTAATTACAGTTTTTATATATAATTTTTGTTTTAGATATGGAAATCTCTTTAATTGAGTAATATAAAATTTACCAAAATGTAATTTATATCTTGTATAATTAGTTTTGAAAATCATTTAAAATGATAAATATCTATACAATATTTATGTTCTACATAGTGTAAACATTATAATTTGTTTACAAAATAGATAAACAAAGATATAAGATTTGAATAATTTCTTACAATATATTTGAAATGATATAAAAAATATAATGTTTTTACAAATATTTTTATTTTCTTTTCCTTTAATACTATGATCTGTGATCCTTCAGTATGTTTTTAGTTTATGAAATTATAAAATAAAATTTCATTTGAACCTTACTAATATTTTATATATTATATTTATTATTCATGATACATAATGAAAGCTGATTATTATGTTATATGTTTACTGACATATATTTATTTTAATAAAGTAAAATTCAATGTTATAGTTATAAGTGAAATACTATCCTTGTGAATTACTTTATATATTTTTTAATAAACACTTAATTTACTTTCTTTACATAAACTGTTGAACAATGAAGTTAGATGATTTATTGTAAACTTATAATATATTAAATCCTAATAAGTATAATTTATACAATTGTTATAAAATTTGTTTAAAAATATTATTAAATCATTATTAAAATATTTAAATATAACAATTTATTTACTCAATTAAAAACAAAAAATATCATGGGTTTTTAAATTTGAAACTCCAATATAAGTTGAAATTTAAAAAAGAAAATGGCTGAAAAACTAATACGCTTAATTATATTTTTATTTATAAAATATCAGATTTTATAAATTTTCCAATCTTCAAACTGATTCAATACATTTCAATTTTTATTTAAATAAAAAGACAATATAAGTTGAAAATTTTCAACATATACTAATTTAAAAAAATGCGACTTAGTTATAAATTAAGAATAATGAAGACACTTTTTTATAAACATTAATATTGAATTTCCTGTTTGTATTGAAAATACTTGGTACTATATATAAATAAACTTATATATATATTAAATTTATATATATATTACTTTATATACATAAAGTATTAATAAGAAATATGTGTTAATTAGCAACCAATACTCATTAAAAAATTATAAAATTGTACAAAAATTTGACAAACGATTTTAGGTACTATTTTTAATTAAAATATTTTTACTTATTACTGTAAACACATACAATATATATTTTACCTACAAGTAAATAGATTTAGAGGTTTTTATAAAAGCATGTACTTAATTATTCATAAAAATTTAGTTTTTCATATAAGTTGTTTTATAAAATTAAAATTATGAGAATAATTATTATTTTTATCTTTGTAATACTTTTCGTTAATATATTACATCGAATAAATTTACATATGTTCTTGACTAATTCTTTTTAATTAATTAAAAATTTTGTATATATATTTAATAAGTTTTAAATAATATACTAGTAGTTAGAATTTTATAAAAAAGTCTAAATAATCTAGAATTGATTCTTGTAAATTATATATTTTAAATATTTTTTTATTTTATTAACTTAGTACTTATTGAATCATATTTATTGTTATTTTATTTTACCCTATACAGATTTACTTACATTAAAAAAAATTGTGGATTAATTTTAGTTTTAGTACATGTAAGATTTTATTTTTTAAAATTCATTTGAAACGTTTATTAATATTTTTACATTATTATTAATTTGTTTTATAGAACTTGGATATTTCTTATTTTTTACCATCTCCTATAATATTAATGTTGTTTCCATTGAAATACATCTATTATATTTCAACTAACTTATATAAACAGTAACAATTAAGTTTATTATTAGATCAACAGTCAATATAAGTAATAGAAATTTTTTTATGTAGTTAGAGGTTACGCAGTTATATGGTTCAATAAAAATTCGCCTTTAGGAATCTCGTAGCTTCCTCAATGGAAGGGCAACGGGTTTCAAAGTGATCTAAAAAATTAAGCATATATTTTTATTATATTTATATATTATTTTTCTTATTAATTTTTTGTATTATTAATGTTAAACTATTTCTATTACGTAAATAATTATCACAAATGTACAAATATTCAAGAAAATATTATAAATTGATATTGATCAATTGCATTAATGTTTACTATGTATGTATTTATTTAAATATTATTGTTTAATAATTTAATGCAGGATATCAATATTTAAAATATGAGGTTGTAAAGTTTTTCTTAAAGATAAAAAAATTCCAAGTATCCCATATATTTACTTCAAAAATCGATGAAATTTAATAATTTTTTTTAACTAATTATTTGTTTAGGCTCAACAAGCATGGTAACTCCTTAAATTAATAATCATTCGCAGGTAACTATTTAAGAATTATATTAAAGACAGACAAAATAATATACTGCAAATTGGGTTCAATTTTAATTTTATTTAAAAATATAATGTTGTAGATATTTACTTAAAGCTATACAATTATATAAATTAAAAAATTAATGTAAAAAAATTTTTTCTCGAAAATATCGAATATTTACAACTGTATTAAAATTTTATTTACTCAAAAATTATAAATGTAATATTTTTTTAATTTTTCATTTTATTTAAATGAATTCATTATTATATTTTTTTTAAGTTTTCATTTTATTTAGATTAATTCATTATTATATTTTTTAAATATTGTTGGCATCAATAAATCTCAAATATTGAATTAAGTTTTGACAAGTTTGCAACAAAATCATTTTTTTAATAGTTTTAATATTTTTAAACTCATTAAATTATATCCAGTTTTAAAGGATATATTTTTAATAGGAATTTTGTTACAAGTTGGGCATTCAATAACTACGAAATAACATATATTCTGTTTAAATTATAAAGATATTAATTTACTTCTATTTAATTTACACCAAATAATTCCATTTTCTGTTTTAAGTTTAGTTAAAGTGTTATTATTTTATTTCATATTTTTTGTTGATAATAAAATGATATATAATTAGAAATATATTAGTTGTATCAATTGATCGTTGTTTAATTTGAAATATAACATATTACTTCGAATAATGAGATTGATGATGCTAGATTTATTAAGAATATTCTTTGGGTTTATTAAATATCTATTTCCAAAAATTGATGCTTAAATATTGATTGTTTTAATTATACATTATAATTATTTGAGAAGGTATATTGTTTAAACTTCAGATACATTTATTATAATTATATTTTTCTTAATGTATAGTCAAATACATATTTCGAAAATGTAATTTATGCTAGGTAAAATATGATTAAAAATTACTGTACCTATTTGTTCTTCTACAATACAAGGTATTTGCATAAAATGTAGTTTTATTATAATTCTTTATTATTTTCTTGTTCATTGCGATTTATTAATAAGATGATTAGATCTTTTTAAGTAATTTGTGATTCTTTCATTTTTTACACATATTTTCAAAATATCAACTAATTACCTTTTGTTTAATTTACGCATACGATTGGTTAAGGCTAATTATAGTCTAGCAATGTCCTAATTGCCAGTCAATAAAATACATACCATATATATGTATGAAATTGTAGATTTCTAAAGCGCTCTGTCGTATGTTATAATAGTGCACCTATATATGTTAGTTCATTAAAAAATTTTTACTTTCTGAATGTGTTGAAGTATAGTTATTATCTATTCATAATTAAAAACACCTATTACTTACAATGTCATTCGAAGATGGGTTTTATACATACAACTGCATAACAGTTTGTGCTATTGTTTGTCAGCACGGAATTACTAGTTATTACATTTGTGCATGAATTTAAACTCTATCCATTATAACTTTATTATGGCTGCATCAAAATTATTCATTATTTAATATTATAAATTAGCTTCGCAATAGTTGATTGTAATTTGAGATCGAATGTTGATATATTTAATCAAATACAAAATTCAAACAAAATTGAATTCTAGAAGGTAATAATAATTTTTTTTACAATATAACATATTTTATTGTTATATTGTTTATATAGAATAATTAGGAGGAAATTAGTTTGGATTATGCAAAATATTAAAAATTACAACAAAATTATTCATATTATACAAATAAATAAATATTATTCATTTGAATAATATATTTATTAATTTATATATAAAATTCCATATAATTTAGATGTTTAAATTATATTATAGTATTTAATTAATATATAATTATTTAATCGTGTAATTTCCGCTACTAAATCAATATTATATACAAATTAGATTTCGTTTACTTAGTTTGAATAATAATTGTTATTTAAATATACTTTATAATATAGAATATTTAAACATAATATAAATTTTAATCCAAATTTTTCACATGATATTATGTGACAATCATTGTCATATAAAAAATTGTTATTTTTTAAAATTTTTTTCATCATTTAAATTTGAAATATCATAAAATGTAATATTGATGTTATAAATTTGATTTACAAAACATTCTATTGCTAAAAAAATTATATATAATTGATTATATAGAGTAAAAATCTAGTAATTTAAATAAGAAAATTACAATGAAATTAAAATAAACTTAATTTTTTAATATATATCGCATTACCAATAATTATTATTTAAATTTATATACATATATATCATAAAAATTTGTAAATTATGGATGAAATAAAATTTAATGTATATATAAATTATAATAAATATTTATAAACACAACTAAAAGTTTTTTATTACAGGTATTTTGTCAATTACTATAAATTTTGAAACAAATTATTATTGACGTGTAAGTATGAAAAATTTTAGAATTTTATATATTGTTATATTAAAACGAATTTGAATTGAATAGTTTTTTTAAAAATTCGGAGAAAAACTATTGACAATAATACTATTTAAGATTTTTTATCATACTATATACTAATATAATTTATAATAAATTAAAAATATAAATGAATATTTGTATTTCATAAATATAGATATTCAATCTCAAATTTACAAATAATAATAAATTCGGTAGCTAAGTAACTGCTTAAGTAAAAATTTAAAAATATAAATAGTTATGAATTAGTTTGAAATGGTAACAATTACATACATATCCTTAAATCTGTTGTATATTCCGTTATGTGTACAAAGATTTAATGCAAATTCATGCAAAAAAAGGACGTTTTAAATTTAATGTTATAATTATGGTTTTCAAGTTTAAATTTAAAATATATTTATATATTTCATATTTTTATACAATTATAATTTATATTTATATTCTTATAAGTGACGTATATTCAGGCTATTATTTTAAAAATTTGTATTAGCAATTTTGTTAATATTAAAACGAATTTAATTATGAGAATGAAAAAATATTTCTGTTTTCAAGTTTACACAATCATTTTCGTGTAATGTTTATTTTATAATATAATGTTTACATGAAATTAGTAATTAATTGAAATGCTTTTAATTAAGTTTCCTTTTATATAATCTATAATTTTCATTATCTGCGATTATCTTTGATATAATCTATAATTATCATTATCTTCAATTATCTTTTACATAATCTATAATTTCAAATAATGCCATGAATTTGTGCAATTTAATGATTTTTTGTTTTCATATATATTTCATTGAGTATATTATTAAATTTTCTTTAATAGGTAACACATTAAGATATAGTTTAAAACTTTAAAATTTTTGTCAGCGTAGTTGATCATTTTTCGTGATATTTTTGAAAATATATGGTCGATAGAAGTTGCAAATTTATTTAATTCACATTAATTTCATTTTAAAAATTAAAAAATTAAAAATTAACAAATCTCTAAAAAAAACTGGATGAAATTTATTAAACTGAATCTTTTATTTTACAATAAATAAACAATTTTTTTTTCTCAAAAATTTTTAAATGAATTACGAAAATTTCAACAGCTGTAGTATTATCTTAAGATCTTGTATAGTCTCTACAGTGTATTTCTTGTTATTTAAACTGTTTCCCATAGATCTTTACGATATCTGGTGTTCTGAAATAAACTGGTTTTCTTTTATCGACTCTTTTTGTTATTTCTAATGATTTTTCCAACTGAGTATTAAATCCAAAAGCACTTTGTAGCTTTGTTTGTTCTATTTGTTGTTGAAGTTGATGCTGTGCTTCCTGCTGTAATTGCTGATGTTGTTGATTGAATGGTGTTGAATATTTGTTTATATTTTCTGATGACTGTAAAATTGGGTCTTTTCCGAATCGTGGATGTGATGGAAGAACAAAGCCGCTTGGCATACTTGGCTCTTGACTTACATTTGGTGTTAGAGCTTCATTTAATGTAACATCATATTCACTTTCTGGAATATCTTGTAAATTATGGTGCGTGACTTCATTTATTTTTTGCTTTACTTTCAAATTCCCATTTACTGATAACTGATCTTGTATCTCGTCATTTTTATAGGATAGGTTGTAGATCTTTGTATTATGATTTTGTGAATATTGAATATTATCTTTCACTTGTTGTTCGTTTCCTTGAACTTTGGCTTCACTCTCTTGTTCCTGAACTTTATAGTTCGTTGTCCAGCTGGATAACGTTTTATGTGGTATCAACTGAGATTGAATTTCTGTTTGGTTTTTAGTAATATCTAGTTTCAGTCTATGTACAATTGGTTTTGACTCTGAGAAGTTATAATTATTATTTACTTCAGATTGTTGGAGATTTTTATAATTGTTATAAGTGTGCTTATTGTCATAAATAAGACTTTGATTATGATAATCTTTTTTTAAAACATCTTTTGCACAGTCATCATCCAAATAAGAAGTTGTAGTTGTTTGTAATCTAATGTAATGTTTCAAAGGATTTTCTTCTTGCCTGGAAGTTTGAGCTTTCGATCCAACTGGTAATAGACCTCTAGGATTAGGATTTCCACCTCTAGATGGCAGAAATGGTCGTTTTATTATTCGAACCGTTGGTTGAATTAAAGACAATGGAATAATGGCCGGTTCTTCAATATCATCATAATATTCGGATGAATAATCATTAAAAAGTTCCTTTTCACGATTATGAGTTTCTCCGTGCATTTTCGATTTCCAATATTTTTGAAAAAATTCTTTTTCAGTTGTAATTTCGGGTATTTTATGAGATTGTATTTGGAAATATTTTTGCTCGTGTTCTTGTTGCTGCTGTACTTCTAATTTAGGTTTCATTGTTAAAAAACTATATTTTTGTAATCTATTTTTTGATTCCTCTATTGTATGATTTGAAAATTCTTTTTCTTGTTCAGACTTAGAAGAGATTATGACCTTTTCAGTGTTCCGATCATAAACCATTTGATTCGATCTTTTTGGAGTATCCATAACTTCTTGATGATCTTTAATTATTGTGTGTGAGCGTTCATTTTCTCTAATTAGATCTATTGGTCGGTTGTAAATGGATGGCTTGTCTAATTTATCGAAATTATGAACACGCATAGCCCATTCTGTCTGATCGTAATCACCTTTTCGTTCTTTTGTGCGATCTAAAGAACGATCATGACCTCGTTCAAGACCTCGATCCCATTCTCTTTCATAAAATCGATCCCTTGATCTGTCTAAATACTTACGTAGACGTATTTCAGTATTATCATCACGATATCTAGACCTGACATAACATTTTTTTTATTAAAACATGTAACAAAAAATAATTTAGTCGTAAAAGAACCGTTATGAAATACGTTTCAGTTTCATAAACTATCTCGTAATATATATTTCATAGACTTTATATATATATATATATATATATATCATATTTTTAAAAGCAATTTTGTTTAAAAGTATTTAATATTTTCGATAATAATCGATTGAATAATGTTTCAAATAAGGTTTAAATGAAATACTTTTAAAATAAAAAATCTTATTACTATATGATTTTAATCATGCCATGAATTATTGAAAGCTTTAGAATTACTTAAAATGTATCTCATTAATATAGTTGTACTTAATATATTACATTTGATAATTTTGCATATAAATCTTGATTTAAATACTTTTATTTCAGTACATTTTTTAAAAATATTAAACATTCATTTTCATTATTCTTTTTTATAATACATGTAAAATAATAAAAATTTAATAGTCTATTAAATATGATATATTATATAATAAATATTATTATTTTACTTAACTATCTTATAATATTACATTAATGTATAAATAAAATATCTCATAGTTTATTTATTTTTTCATTATTAGAGATCATACATGTATTGTTTTAATTAATTGTTAACATGTAATTATAATGCATGATAAATAAAATGTGAAGGTTAAACGTATGCCAAATGGGTGATAAATATCAAGAGGAGGCATATAATAATTTTGTAAGATAGCTATTAGTGGTTTATAATTTACCTTACCTGAAGTGTCGATCACGATATCTTTTATCAAGAAAATCTCTATCTCTTAAAGGTCTGCCTCTCATTTGCCAGCGGGGTCTAATATCTTCAATCTCATCTTCATAATAGTCATCGATTATAATATCAGCTGGTTTTCGGCGGAGTTCTTCTAAAGAATCAAAAATGGGTCTTCTTCGAGGTTGTTCTAAATCGTCAATGGCTAGTTTTTTTCGAGATTCATCTGTATCTTCGGTTATTGGCTTTCTTCGTGATTCATCTATAATATATTATTCTTATAACATGTTTACAAATTAATATTTCCAAGAGAGCATAATAAAATTATGTATATAAATCTTCTTCAATAAATACATATCTATATATATATATTTACCAGTTAGACTACGAAATGGCATATTTGTTGAATACGCATATTTATCTTGTTCAGCTAAAGGTACTGGTCTACGTAATTTTGGTGGTATTCTTGGCCTTGCAAATACTGAGGTTGGTGGAGCTGCTGGCTTGATTAGTCCTTCATTGTTACCAGAGTTAAATACTAATTCTGGGATTTTTTCATCATAATCGTCTCTAATTCTTAAAATAATATGTCCATTATATATATAAATATCTATATATTAGTTTACGTACACACCATTAAAAACAAAAAATAGTTTATTAATAATAACAATATAGTATAGAAATTATACCACTGTGAAATTTTTGTTAATAAGTAATTGAAACAGAATATCAAACATTTACAAATTCTATTTTCATAACAAGAAATTTTTTAACACGTTTAGTGCTTATATTTTATATTATTTGTAATAAGAACAAATAATTATTGACTAATTGATTATTATTTAAAATATCAAATTAGAAAGTAGAATTATCAAAGTAGAAGCTACAGTAATTTAAATACTTAACTTTTATTATTAAATTGTTTAAAATTAGCTTGTGTAAATGAAAATTTCACATAAAGATATTACTTTTTATCAAAGTATCTTCTCTCATCGCCATCTTTTATACGCTCTTCTGAATCATGAGACTTCGAAAAATCCTGATCTTTCAGTCTTGGTCTCAGTGGCTCGTTTTCATTCGGGTCTTTCATTCTTATTGGGTCTCTTCTATTACCTCGTATAAGAAGTCTATCTCGTAAAGGTGTTTCTCTGTCTCTTTCTCGAAAATCGCGATGACGGTAATCTCGGATTCTGTCACGATCTCTCCGATATTTTCTGTCCTCGTAGTCATCATACTCTCGTCGAGGGTAGCCTCGCGGACGCGTTCTTTCATAGGCATCATCATCATAGTAATCCTCATCATAGTAATCATAGACGGGTCGTCTCATAGGAGGTCTTCTTCTGCGCAGTATCAAGTCTCGTTCACGACTTAGTAATCGATCGCCTTTATCAATGTTTGACATCAGCTGCACAGGCGTAACCGACGTTGTAGTTGTACTTGTTGTTACCGTTGAGGTTGTTGTGGAATCTGCTACTTTATAAAGGGCGTCATTTCTATGCCAATATTTTTTAGAATTAGTACAGTCAACTTCCGAAACGAAGTGGCAGATAAAAGTCTTCTGATCAAAAGCCGTGAAATTTGCGCAAAGGAAGTCATAACGCGTGCCGAACAAACAGTGATGGTAGACCTGAGTAGAAATGATATTGTTAATATAAGGATTGGCAATCTTATACAATATTAATAAATTTATGTAATCATATATAAAAATATACAAAACATAAATCAAATTTTTTGATTTTCTTTCTCCAAAAGAAAGTTTAGAAAAATTTAATTAAATGTTCATTATTATAGTCTAGTAATGTTTAATAAAGTTTATTAGAAAGTTGCAATAATACATATTATCATTTTGTTTTCAACTATATAAATTTTAAGGCAAAATATTTTATTTTCTTAAAATAAATTTATTTTAATGTTACAGTTTAGGTCAATATTTAATAATAAAATTGTAAGTCCAATTTATTTATTACATAAACTGTGCGATTTTGTTATCATTACCTGACATTTATGAGGCACGCTTGCATAAAATCCATCGTGAAGACCGTCACATTTGAAATCAATGTCTTCGGGTATACTACTATAAAATGGATAGTCGCTCAAATTGTATCCATTCAATTCCCTAGGTAAATTCGGATCCCAAATATAATCGATTTGTGGAATTCCTGTAAGTATGTGGCCTGTTGTTGCATTAGTATCGGAAAATGTTGTTACCTAAGATATTGTTTAATATTCTTTATTCAAAATCGTGAATTCTTTCAAAGGATTTGAATATAATAAGCATTAACACATTTATCTAAACGTATCTAATTCTTAATTTACAAAGATATTTATTTTTTAAATAATAGATCAAGCATTGTAATCTTATAAATCTTACAGATCTATTATAATATTACATAAACATATGGTTCAAAATTAAAATGTTCTCACTAAAAAAGTTTAATTAATAGTTTATCAGGTAATATGCTTATTGAAGTTTTCATGTTATCACTGTAAATAATATGTATCCTAATTATGAACATACTAAGATATTTTAAAATATACATGATTGTGGTATTGATAAATCAATTAAATTCAAAATGTTTCTTTACAACGTTATCATAAATGTAAATAATTTAAAAAGTTTCAGTATATTATATAATAAATGCAGTAAGATAAATTTGAAACTATTATTATTATTTAGCAATTTGTATAATATATAAAAATGTTATTTTAAATATTTTTAAATATATTATAATATGTTATCATTCATATATTTTTTGTAAATGCTTGTAAAAATATGTTAAGTACGAAATAATTGTTAGTTTTTTCATTTTAATATTTGTATTTATATACATTTAAAATTGTAAGAATTGACAAGAAGAATAATATATATATGATTAAATGTGATAATGAGACCATGAAACAATAATTATAAGTATAATACGAAATATTTAAATTACATAGGAGAAATATGTTCATAAAACTATCACATAAAGTATAATGTATAACAAATTCATGAATAATAAATTCATGAAAAATTATAAATCGAAACAAACATTGAATTTTATACGTATGAAACTTTTGTTTTATACAATAAGTTTTTAAATAATTAATTTAATTAAAGGTAAAGAAATAAAAAATGTATGAGATTATTTTGTATATTAAGTAATAACATCTTGGGAGCCACGACAAAAAACAGCAACATACAATTTAATAATGATCGATAAGTTCTTAAGCACAATTTTATATTCCCGAAATTTGTTTAGCAAGCGTTTTACATGAAATATAATTTAACATATACAATAAATGCTATATAGTGTACTTTTATGTTTGTGTTCTACTCATGATTTTTTAAATTTTAAGAATATTTCAGGTATTCCAAAATTACAAAACAATAAAAGCTTGATTTTATTTAAATAATAACATTACAATGTAAATATCATAAAGATAATAATGTTAAAATAAAAAATAATTCAAAATTCATTAAAAATTACCTCAACCTCATCTTCATTGCCTATGCTTTCTATTGACGGCGAATCCTCTGTTGTGGTTGTAGATGTTGTTGCTATTTTGAATTTTGGTCTGATAGCCTTAAGGGCATTGGAGACTGCGATTGTTATTAGAAGTCCTATAAATGAAGAAATCGTAGATTGTAACCAAAAAAGAAGAATGTTTTTATTTGAAATACTAATAGTTTACAAATTTTGACAAAGTAACGTTTGTAATTATCTAAAACATTATTAAATTAAATTAGTGTATCAAAATGTTACTGCAATTTATATAAATATGTAAATACAATTTTATATAAATACAATCTCATTTATAAAACATCAACTATATATAATATTAAATTAATATATTTTTTAAGTATTTATATATATATATATATATATATACACATATATATATAATCGATTTTATTATATTGGATTGCATGTCTTGATAGAATTTGTATTAGAAGCTTCGAATTGCGTTAGATTAAAAATGATTAATTAATGTTATTTAATGAGTAATTATTTAAATGAAATCATTTATAAATAATTTTTCGAATTGCACATATATACATTGTATACTAATGCTATTACTGCAATTTTAGATCTTATCAACTGAATTATTATCTTATCAATTATTATCTTATTATTATCTTATCAATCTTATCACTGCGTTACATTGAATAATTGTGGTATATTACAACAACTGCAAGTGGTTTAATCGTACCACATTCGAAAACCACGAGTCGCACCACGAATTTTCTTTGGAGTAACACGCCATTAAAATTATAACTGTACGAAAAATAATATTGTAGTATGCAGCTGCATGTTACAACATTAACTATTCTTTAGTATATATATATATGTGTGTGGTAAACATGTGGCATATATCTATAGTTCATATATACATAATTATGATTCTACGTTGATGATGAGAATCATTGAGATCTTGCCGTTCCTTAGTAGTTTCCACGTGGTGTTAGCATGCACTACATGCCGAGGTAGGAGGTCGTAAATCTTCTGATCCTCTTGATATAGTGTGCTTGATGGTGGGTTACTACACTGAGAAGTGAAAGGTCGTAAATCCTTGACACTCCTTATTTAGTGCCACATATGGTGTTTTAAGTGCGAGTCTCCTCTTGATGTATAAATATAAATGGTTCAATACCTAAGTGTATCTTGGTAGTGCGTGCTTTGTCACTTGTCGAGATTTAGCGGACATTGGCGCCTTGATCCAGAATACAGTACAGAATAGAGTGACCTCTTGGTGCCGGTATAGCACAAAATACAGTGATGTCTTGGTGCTGGTGTAGCACATAATACAGTGACCTCTTGGTGCTGATATATATCAACGATTATGAAATAAATAAAATTACACGCTCGTATCTGTACATCGATTTTGACACAAATGGCTGAAAGCAGATATTAGAAGCCACTTAAAAATGTAAGAAGCAATAGTGGACCCAGCTGATATGAAATATGTGGTGTTAATAAGAAATTGTAAGCAAATCCACTTCATATAATGAAAAATTCGTTTAGATGTAAATGAATTTTTTTTTAATCCACATCATAACAGTGAAGTTTACTTCTTTATTTACCATGAGTTTTGTACGATTTAATTTGTGATTTAAAATTTTAAGCTATACAAGAATTAAAGTTTAGGATTTCTTTGGTTTAATTTTTCGAACAATATTGTTGGATGGATTTAAGAATCATACAATTGTTAAATGACAAATCCTAAACAATGCTTGAAACTTATTTACTAGTAGCAAAAATAATTAATCATTAGTTCTATTTCCTATGGAAACTAAAACTATTCATGATTAACCCTTTAGGCTCGTTACTATTATGTTTGTTTTGAGATTCACATCTGAAGATGAATATTTATTTGTTAATTTAGGCTCTATGATAAAATTGATAAATTAAAATTCTTATATATTTATAATTTTTTTAATTTATATAATAAAAATTATAACTTTATAAATTAATAAATAAGTTATATATCATTTTACTAACTATTTATACAATTTAATTGTTTATTATTATCAATTAGAATTAATTGCAGAACAAAATTAAATGCTTTAAATATAAACAATAAGATATTTTAAAGCATATTATATAATTATTGTATTATTGTATTTAATTATTATTGTTTAAATATATTTGTAAATAATACTACGTTTAAGACAAATATTATTTTTTAGTGATATTTTATTTAAGTTCCATTTATTTTATTTAAGAACATTATTGGTTAGTAAGCAGTCAAAGATAATTAGATTGATTATTACTTATTATTAGAGCGAAAAATTATTAAAATGTTAAATTAATAACATTGAAAATGGTATGACTGATTCACAATTGAGTTTTTCACAAATGCTTTTTTAATTATACATATTATTATTAAACATTGACTAAAAATATGAAGAATAATAACATGACAGATTTTTGATATTTTAATTAAATAATTCAATTTTTACTATTATCCTTACAAATAGCTTTTTAATATATAGTTTAATTCAAGCAATATATATTATATAATGTAAAATTGACATCACTGATATTTTACAACATAAAGACAAATTAACTTACCATACAGAGTAAGTAGTAGCCATTTTCTCTCCCGCATTTTAATTCTTCTAAAACAGAATGAAAATAATTAACTTTTTTGCACGTATTAATAATTTTAATTATATTAAGTTTAATATTTTTTTTATTGTATGTTTTTATGATTCAATTTTATTAATAGTATAGTAAAATACATTTTTTTAGTAATAGTTACAATGTTTTATGTAATAAATTTTGAGCATTCATATATATAAAATGATTTTATTAATAAAATTTCCCTGAAATATTGACTGATTGACATTAATATTCTTTATCAAGGAATAATTAGACAGCTAAGAAAATTTTTATATCGAATTTATTTGTTGCTAATTTTAATGGTTAAATGTCAAAGAGTATTGTGTATTAGAATATATTTATATTTTATTGATATTAGGTGATAAATGTGTATAAATATATTCAGATATGTTTAAATGATTTTGGCATTTATTTAGAAATACATAATTTTTTTTATTGTCAAATTTGAATTAGGACAGCATTGTATTTAATGCATAAGTGTAGGTATATTTAAAGTAAAGTAAATTATATTTAAAGTGATTTTACCTAATTTAATTCATCTATATTTAATGTATTGAATTAGATGATTACTATTTGAAAGAAATAATACTTTGATTATTTTTGTTACTTGTATTCTGGTTCTCAACATTTATTTTAATGCAGTTATTAGTATTTTTAAATGATATTTATGTTTCATATTTGGATAGGTTACATTAATAAAATTATCGAAATAAAATTTTTATTAGATTTAAAAATTTTTTTAGGCGATCTTTTAAATAGTTGTGTAACATTTTATATATTAATTTTATATTGAATAGTATATAATTTTTATAATTTATATGTTGCTTATAATTATAATTTCTTTAAGAGTTTGAGAAGATGAAACATCAATGATCGTTAGGAAGCTATATAGATATATAGGTTTTTCATAAAATTCTTGAATTTGACAATGATAAAATATATAAGATAGCGTTCATTAGATTAATAGTCGTATATTTTACATCAATGACATTTGCCGAATGTTTGTAAAGAGTTTCCAATGTTAGTTAGTTGAAGATTATAATTAAATTATTTTTGGATATCGTTAATATAATGTACTTAATAAATTAAATGTTGTTTTGGTATTGATTTGCATGATTTAATTCAATTATTATTGTTCGTTAAAATAACTTAACGAGTATTTTCTGTCTGGAAATGAAGTATCGCAAAAATCAGATTCAACAAATATTCAAAACTAAAATATTAAAAATTCAGTAATTCCTTAATGAGTACGTTAATTTTCAATTAACAATCCTGTTTCAATAAATAATGTAAAACAATGAGAAAGGTACATTAAATATGGATAATCTGACAGAATATATTAATATTAATTAATTGATATTCAGTTAATTTATATTTAGTTAATATATATCTTACAATATAAAAAGTTCCATTGCAGATACCTATATATAAATTGCTATTAGCATTTTCACGAGCCATTGGACGACGGCTATTAAATAATGAGTAGAGAGATGACATTGTTTTGAAAGAGCGCAGAGAGAGAGAGAGAGAGAGAGAGAGAGAGAGAGAGAGAAAAGAAAATTGTAAAAAATATAAAAAAATTGAGAAGAAAATAAAACCATGGCAATAATATTAATTCAGTTTGTTTTTTATTATTTGAAGAAAACGAAGTATTGGTCATAATCTAATAAAAAATCAATAAAGGAAAGTCAAAAGTCTGATTAAAAGAAATAATTCTATTAAAGTTGGTTTTGAGCAATATATTAAATTAAAGTGATAAGAAATTAAGGAAACGACATTATGCTTTTTACTTTCATTAATAAACCAAATAAAATGATTATAGAAAAAAAGTCGTTTCAATAAATTATGATTTCCGAATAACAGTTATGAATGTATTTTTCACTTTTTACAGGAAATATTTCTAGTCAATATAAAAAGATTTTTTTGTTTTTCAAACACTTTTTATTTTGACATTCTTCCTATTTGTATTTTAGATGATAAATTTATATGATAGGTTTAAAATTAAATTAACTGAAAATAGTACAGAAGTGAATTTTTTTAAGACTCTTTGTAATTATTAATTATGAATATAGTTTGTTCAATCGACGTAATTTATAGTTAAATAAATATGAATATATCTATATGCCATTTTTTGAGATGTATAATTAATTCAATTTCTAATTATTTCTAATTCTAATTATTTTGAATTGAGGAATCATTTATTATTATTTATAGTTAAAAATTTCTTTCAATATATATACAAATAAAAATCTTTTTTTTTCTTTTATTTAATACGCATAACGTTACAAGCAAAAATTTAATAATAAATAGTTAATATTAATTTGAATTTTAATAGTGTTAGTATTTTTTCAGATTATTTTATCATATCTTTAAGCAGTAGCATTTATATTAAACAATGTCATTTAATATATTATATTAAATAAAGAATAATTTAATAATATTCCAAAGTTAATTAATGAATGAACAATTATTGATCATGTACAGTTGATCATTACCAGTTACTATAAATAATAAAAAAGTACTGAATGACTATAATTACTAGTAAGCTTGCATATAATAATTTTTTAAAGGTGTTATCAATTAAAGAAAATGAGTTGGCTATGAAATTTTAAAGGAATAATTATAAGAAACTACATAAAAAGTGTTGCGATTCGAAAGTTTGATGTTCGTGCTGTATTATTTCAGATCCATAATTACAGTTGCTTAATTATTTAATGATTAATAGTTTTATCAATTTTCATTTGCCGTTCGTATAAGAAATGAAATACGTACATCTATTTATAATACATAAAAATTCATTGCTTTTTTAAGATAATGTATAAAATATAAATATGTCATACTTGAGAATTTGGATTCTTATTATTTGTATTAATTTAATAATTAATAATTGATGCAATTATATTAAAAGTAATTCAATATACTAACTTAAAACTACACATTAGATTTTATTTATTTACATACTGACTATTTATTTAATTATAAAAACAATATAGAATATTTCTTAATTTTTATTTAAAAACGATTAAATAAAATAAAAATGAATTAAATTCTATATTGATAACTAAAGATTATTTCACGTTTTAATTAATTATATTTTATTAAAAATAAAACAGTTGTTTAAATTCTCTCATACTAGTCTAGTTTGAAAAATATTATCTATTATATGGTAGACTTATTAAAGATTTATTAAAACTTATTATATTTTTTAATATATCATAAAGAAGTAATTAATATATATGATAATAAAAATTATTATAATTTTAGTTGATGAAGATTCACTTAGAATTTTGTAATTTTTAGAATTTAATAACGAAACTCAAATAATTGAATATATATCATTTCAACAGAATAAATACTTGGTATAGAAATTTATGTATTTATGCATTACAACTGACAATAATTTTTATATCAATCAACACTTGGTTTATTATAAAATATATAATCATGAATATATGATAAATATATTTCCATATATTTAATGTATATTCATATTTGTTTAGGATTGAACTACCAAACAATGAAAATTTATTGCTTTATTTACTATGATTCCATTACATTTATATTTATTATTAATGCGTAATATTTCAAGTATTCGTTACTAAAATTGTTTTTCTTCATTCGTTACTAAAAATTCCGCGAATTTGACAAGATTTCTAAGAATTACAAACTCTAAATGTACGCAATTATATATAAGGAGCAACAGACGACGAATAAAATCTCGTCTTGTTGAGTAAGTCAAAGTGAAATTAGTGCAAGTCATAACAGTTAAAAGTTCTACACGTCTGTCTACGGGAATCCGTGCAAGGTATACTTATTTGTTTAAATTATTTATTATCTACTGCTGGCCAGCTATCGGTGCGGCCTCCGCAACGTGACTCTAGTCAGACCGCTGAAGAGGGCGCCGATACAGTTTGATATCCACTAATTCATTTCTTGCGATCCTCTCCCAAGAATAATTGCCGATAAGAGCGCCCAAGGATTTCCGATTCTAGCGATTCCGTCCACGCGAGTCATCGCCAATAAAAGCGCCCATGGATTCGCGATTCTAGTGATTCCCTCGACGCGAGTCATCGCCGAAAATAGCGTCCATGGATTTGCGATTCTTGCGATCCTCTCCTCCATAAAGAACAATAACGCGTGTCCAGTAGAATCAGCACAGATTTTGTCTCGCACTCTCGGACAACGTTCTACAGTTTATGCTCAACTGTTAAATCACGACGAGCTCAACAAATCTCATAACGATTGGTAACAACACAACCAAAGGAACGTAACCTTAAATAAATGTCACTAAAACCAATTGTGTTTACATTGAATTAATGCATTAACCTCTCATTCGTCTTCCCTCCCATCACCGATAAACCGATGATACGGTCTAATTCATCCACTTTGGTCTTCGACCATTTTCTGATGGCTGGAATTCCAAACATTATTAAATAAAATATATTTGCAGTTAGTAAATGTAACTGTGTAATTTATATAATCCTTGTTTCATTAATATTTATCATTTTTAATAATAAAATTAATTCAAGCAAATTGTGTAATAAAATTTTTCAGTAACATTATATTTTGATGATGTAAGTATATTTTGATTATAATATATATAAATAAATATTATATTTTGATGGTGTAAGTTATACTATATTACCAGATGTATTACTATTTTAGTTGTAATTTAGATAAAATATGTATTTATTTTAAAAACCAATACGGTAATATTAAAATATTTCTAATATTTTTTTTAAAACTTTTAGTAGAACTACTTATTTCAAATATCAAATATTTCAATAATATATTACTAGGTTATTTATTAGTTATTATTTAGTTGAAAGTTATTTTATTTTATATTGTTTCATAAATTAACATTTAAACAATGTAGATAAGAACATTTTTTCCTATTTATGAATTATTATTTAAATTTAAATTGATTTTGAAAAAATAAAAAAAGTTTCAAACTTTTATTAAGAAAATAATTTTAAAATTTTATTTTTAGCAAGCATTCAAATATTATTTTTTTCACAATTAATATATAAAAAATTAATTATTAAGGTTATTAATATTTAGCTTCAGTAGAATGATGCGATTTTTTATAATTCTGTATCAATATAAATCAAATATAAATAAAAATGTAAATAATGTCAATAACAATATCTGTATCAATATAAAATCTGTATAAAATGTATATGGAAGTTGTATAAGCTGAAATAATAGTTGATAATTAACTTAGTATTTCATATTTAATTATAATTTTCGTTAATGGCATTTATAAAATGTTTATAATAATAAAAAGTATTATAAGCGTTACATTAGTAAAATATTGTTATAGTAATTTATTTATAAAATAATAATATTTACTTGAAAACAGTCTATAATTAATTTATGTTGTTACAAAATAGAAAATATAAAAAAAGAAATTTGTTTAACTTTCAAGTAGGAATACTTTTCTTAAAAATTTCTAGTACATGAATCATTTAGCTTTTTAGTTAAAAGTTATTGAAAAATTAGAATACGTGTCCTTTTATTTTTATGACAAAATAGAATTTAAGAAATAATTGTAGACAATAAATTTGATTATTAGTTTGCTTAAGGAACTATTGCTACTTTTGTACATACGTACTGAAATTAAATACTTTTGTACACACGTACTGAAATTAATTCCTTTGTACATACGTTGTGAAATTAAATAAAAGCACTGAGCTTTTGTCGTCAAGATTCATTGTAATTTATGTTACATACATAAAAGTTTGTTATAAAATATTGTTAATAAATCACGCCTGGTTATACGTTTTTATACGTGATACGTTCATCTATTTATATATTCAAGAGTAATGAAAGATACTTTGATTCTAATTGTTAATGATTTTTAAATGTTAGGTAAAATTAATTCATTGATATCTTATTCTCTATTTTACAAAGGTATATATGACTTTTAATTAACCAGTTAATATAAAGTTTTAGATAAATATTCTCAAATTCTTATACAAGATTTAGAATCTTAATATTTCAAATAGAATCCATTCTAACGGTGTGTAAACATTGACTAAATAATCAAACAACCGTAAAAAACTTTGAGTTGTTTGATGCTCTGTACAAATTGATCAGAAAAAAGCCAGAATTACAGGTACAATCTAAAAGTAGCATCATGTCATTATGACTTTTGTAATTTTTCCACTTTTATCGACAACACAATAAAAAAGGTAGTTATAAAATTCAATTTATAATACCCACTTTGATTATCAGTTAGAAAACAGGAAGTGAAAATAAAAAATATGGTATAAGTGCAACTTTCATTGCCAAGAATACAAAATTACGGTTACATTAACGGGAGCTTTTAGGCAAATATATAGGCAGGATATATATCGTACCCAATTTAATATTTCGCAGGCGCAACCGTTTCATATGATAATGACATCACGTTATATTCTACTAATAGCTTTAATAAGCAATTAATAAGAATTCATAGCAATATACAAGTTATTCACAATTGTCTCCTGGACCTTTTTTTTTGTTCTCTGTTTGCTGTATAAGTGTTCGGTTTATTGTATAATTTTGGAATATTCTGATATTCCTTTATAAGTATGACATTGAAGATAAATTATATTCCATTTTTTCGAGTAAATTAACTGTTTGTTAATGTTCAACTTTATGCAATGAAAAAATTAAAAAATGGATTACTCAAAAATACAAATTTATGTTTCTGCATATATAAATTCAAAAACACTTTATCAATACTATGAAAATTGTAGTTATAAGATATATAAGTACGTTTTAAAATACATTGGGTATGTTTTAATTTTCTCTAGATATGAAATCTATTAATATTTGGATAAAATATCCTGTAATCATTATGCACACCTATATGTATATAATATATATATATATATATATATATATAGATTCATTATTCATTACTTTCCTTTTTAATATGAACGATCAATTAAATTAAATATTTTTCTTTTGTATTAGAAAGTCCTTTTTTATCAACTCAGCTATTGTAGAAAAAAATAATAACTTTCGATTAATTCTCATTTGCTTCGAACTGACATCAAGGACAATTGAATGGTTTTTCACCATCGAGGATCGAGGTAGATTTGCAATGCATATACACCACTAACCTTTCTCTCTTAGCACATCCAAATCTCTTTTCGTTAATTCTTCATGAAAGAATGTCCACGTCGATTTTTTACTATAGGCACTTGTACTTCATGCAAGAGAATGGTCCACACCAATTTCTGGACCGTTTGTCGTAATATGTCTCCTTTAATCTTGTGTTTTGCGCGATAATGTGTGAGATAACAAATTTTGTGAGATAACACTTTGATGGCACTTATTTGTAGTTAAAGAACAAAATGTATAGAAAAAAGAATGTTCTGTTGTGGTCTGTCACTTACTGAGTACGAAACTAAAAGAAACTGTCCGAAGAACTTTCGCTGGAAACTTTCAAGGCTATGTGTCACGACGCAATTGAATTAAAATAAGTAAGAAACAAGAATTATTACGAAAGCAAAATGAACGAGGGCTGTTACTTGCATGGATGTTGCGACGTATAGCAATGCGTAGCTCTCGAAAGTTCTCTTAGTCTCCTGTTAATAAAATAATAATTGTCGTCGTTCCTTGCCTTGGCGAATGAATAACTGCACAAGACAGTTACAATATTAGAGAGCAGGGAAGTAGCAGAATGAGAGAGAGAGAGAGAGAGAGAGAGAGAGAGAGAACAGTAGAGAGCAGTTTATATCCTGACTTTGCTTGAACTGATATTAGTACTGTGAAAATGAAAAATACCAGTAGTGTGACTTCGTTGTCTGATGAACTTTCTACGAGAAAAGACGATGGCGGGGCCTTTGCGTAGACTTTGAGTGGGGGTAAAACGGCCCATGGGCGTAGTGGTAGGGTTGCCATACGTATTGTGCTTCTCGTCTTATGCAAAGATCACTGGTACGAGAAGTAATAGTCCCAGCAAAATGCACGAGGCCCGAAGTTTCCAGAAATACATCAAGATACACAGCTGAGCAATGCTGAGTTTACCATTGGATCTGAACTCGACATTTCGCAAAAACTTGTAATTGTTTTTTTTTATGGAGACGTATTTATTTACGTTAGCGATGGCTGCTACATCAATCTATGTATTGAGTAGGTATGGATTTTCTAGTAATAAATTTACTATATTCAATTAGATACATAATATATAATTAAAACTAGTATTTCTTGTATGAATTAATATCAATTCAAATTCGGAAATAAATAAAAAGTTATAGTTAAACATATAGTTAGACTATAATCTATAGTTAGACCTCTAGTAGTAAAACATATTGTGCATGACTTTGTAGATGAATGTATGATAATTATTACATTACATTTGTTATTACATTTGTAATTATTACATTTGTGTTTTTTTTTATTTTTAAAATTTATTACAATGTAATCAATAAAATTATTACAATAATCTAATCTAAATTCAGAAAAACTTTATTTATGTACTTTTTAAATAATCTTCAAATTAAGGAATAATTACGTTATGAAGAAAGGCTATAATAATCTATTTTTCATTATAATTAAATAATTTTTTAAAATATTTATTTAGACCAGTTTAACATATTGCATTTATTTATATAATGTATAAATAACCATTGTATTGATAGTCATGATGTACAATAAGTTTTAATAATCGTATATAGTTTGATCTAATTTAATATCTAATTACTGAAGTATAGATTCTGTACAATATTTATAAAAATAAGTAGAAATCCTCTTTTATAATTTAATTAGTATATATTTTGTATCTCAGAGTATACATTAATTTAGAACAAAACATTTAACATAGATCTACTGTTGTGAGCAATCTATTTTTAGATAAAAGAAATTATTACTATTTTATTTAAATTAATAAATAAACTTTAATTAAGTATACGTTTAATTATATTTCAATTTTGTAAATGGTAGATTAGGTATAATAGTAATAAATTATAAAATAATTAAATATTTCTCAATCTCATCAAGTAAAATTTTACAAAAATAATTGAAAACGTAGAAATGACCACAAACAATATTATATTAAAATTTTTATTTTCGTTAAATAGTAATTTTAACAAGAGTTAATAAATAAATAAAAAAAATCACTTAATATTTAAATAAACAAAATAAATATGTTTAATAATAGTCTATTAAAGTGTTATTATTTTTTTTTTATTTAGCTACATCTATAAATTTGTATTCTGATTAATATGTAATATATTTTATTATTAATAATTTTTAAAATAAATTTTCATTTTGATACGCTTATAATATAATATAACAAATATAACATAATACAAATATTTAAATACTGTATATATTGAAAAAAGAAAAATATCTTATAAGGTATGTGCCATTTTCAAAAAATTAGTGAAATATGTATTTTGTAAGTATATTAATTCGTAACCATAATTTATCTAAGATAATAGTTTCTTTCTACGAGTATTGTATATATTTTTAATTTATATTTTCATATAGAAATTTTATTGCTTGATTTTATATTTTAGTCAATAATAAATAAATAATATTAACCATTTATTTCAACTATTATTTATACAAATATATGTTTTATTATATTAACTTTTAAGGATAAATAAATTTAGATTTAAAATATCCTTTCATAATATTAGAAGAAATTTTCAATATACAAAGTTAAATAATTCTAATGCACTAATAGTAAATAATTTTAATAATAGGGATATATTAATAATAGGAATATTTAAACATGCATTCTAATTATGTTTCATTGGCACGCAATGATTTTAAGTATGTTCAATTCAGAAGGAGAGGTAATTCTTTATATTATAATTTACAAATGTTTAATATAAATTTATCAATGTCATAATATTATACCGTATTATATAATATATAAAAATTTTGAATTTTTACTAACAGAAAATAAATAATTTTCTACATAAAATAATAGTTCAATATGTTTTCAAAATCTTTTGCATGGAAAGATATTAAAAGATCTATCGACATTATTTCTTATATATTTTTTAACTTGAAAATAATTTTGATATAAGGTAACAATAGGATTTTCATTCCCATAGGAAATAAAAAATGTTTAGAATTAATTGCAAATATTATAGATTTTGTTCTTGCATTGTGGACATTGGTTGTGTTTTATACTTAAATTAATTAGAAATTGATGAAGATTAATGACTTATAATAATTTTAAAGTTAAAAATTATTTTAATATTACAATAATTAAAATAAGTCTAACATTAAATCAGTTGAAGCAGTAATCAAATATTGTAAGAGATAAATGTTCCCTTTTTTATTGAGATCTCGCGAAGTGCAGAAACTTTATTTCTAGATGTTTCATTATTCAATTTGATAAAGTGACTTACAAATTTAAATAATAGTATTTATTGTATAATACTTGTTTTTTGCATTACTTTCCATTTATATATATAATTGGAATCATGTAAATGGACACAATATATGTATATATATATATATATATATATATATATATATATATATATATTATGTCCATTTACAAGATATACAATATTTTATAAGGATCTTTATAAATTTAAATGCATGGAATTTTTCAGTATAAAAGATATGTACGCCATCGTAGTTTAAGAACCAAGATAACTTGTAATATAATCATCATATGATAGTTGCAAGTCAAAATACTCATTGCTGAAGAATTTTTATTCAGTATTAAGGTACAATATCTTATGTTTCTTAAATTCATTTCGAAAATTATTTGTGATAATGTGAAGAGAAAATCAGAGTATAATGTATAGTTATTCAACTTTTTAGATGAGGGCATGTATGTTGTCAAATATTTTTCATCTTGGCCAGTCTATTTGTATAACAAGAAAATATAATATGTATATTATGGAAATTGTTTTGTAGTCTATTAATTTTTAATTTTCTAAGTATAAATAAAGCAATTGTATATTTTATGTAAAAGAATTACCTAAAATGTACATAAAATAACTGTAACAACAATAAATTTGAATTATGAATAAATCGACTGTTTTATTTTACAGATAAAGCTATAATATAATATAAATTTCTAAGATGAGATATCAGTACCATATTTAGAAAACAATAAACATAAAGCAATAAAAGTGGCATTAAAAATCGCAATTACATTCTGCAGTGATATTTTAATATTAAAATGAAATTATAAAATAATTATTAAAAATTAATTGTAATAATTTTTTGCATCATGATGTTTTGTCAAATAAAAATTACAGTAAATTATAATTTGTAAATATAAATTTTAAGTGTGTGTATTTAATATAATATTTTACATACAATAAAATATATACAATAAAAAGTAAAAATATAATAAAATGCAGGCAATAAAGATTTTTTTATTGCATCAGATGTAACTAATGATACAAGAATATAAATCAAATAAAAAATAAAACATTTCTATACAAAGCAAAATTTAGTAACAATTTCTTTTAAATTATTTAAGAATTTAATTTTCTCATCCCATATATTTATTAAAAATAGTGATTTCTAAGGAAAAAAATTTGTACATATTTGGTATAATAAAATACTTTCGTATATTTCAATATTTTTTTGGTATGTTCTAAATGTTATAATTTTATTCATATATTTATTTAAAATGTTTCATGTATAAAGGTGCGAGGATACTTCATTGATTATCAAAGCAACCCGTTTATCGAGATAAATTATTTTTCTCCTAGTATGGGACTTCTACTCACGTAAATTTGAGCTCTTAAAGAACAAAAAGTATGGACTTTCTAAGGATATCTGACCTACCATACAACTTGCTTATTGTTTTTCTTGTGAGAAAGTCGGAAGCAAGTTTCTTATTGAAACATTCATGAAGGGAATGTGTTATTGTTATGTAAAAATTCCTGGGAATTTCTGGTGCATTTCATTGTATTATGGTTATAAATTTCTCGTTTAAAATGCTTATATATTTAATATATTTATGATTTTTGTTGTTTTTTATTAACTGGGTAATTGAAATATGGCCGAGTATAATACAATTTGAATACTTTCATTGAAATTTATTACTGATTTTACTCTTGCATAAATAAGATATACATAAATATATACATTTACTTTGCGAAAGATGCATAACCATTTTAATTCATATTGCAATAAATATCATATTAGATTGTCAATTTTATTTAAATTAATTTATTTTTTAGTATAACTTTAATAATTTTAATGATTTTCAATTAATATATAACTATAAAATTTATAAAATTTAGTTTATATTTATATTGCATATATCAATATATAAAACTTATATCGAATATAAAAATATTATTAAACAATATTAAATTTCTTAGGAGTTATAGTACATTTATAACGCGTAATTCAAAATATGGTGTAAATCAATAATGAAAATTATGCGTAAAAATTATGAATAATTATATAAATATTTTAATAAATAATGAGATTCAAATAAAATATTTATCTTAATAGTAATTTCAATGAACTCGCAATGCAAGATGTTTTCGCGAATTTATTGATTCCTAATCACTAACTTTATGATAAATATATTTATTTGTCGATGGCGTAGAAGTAAGGATTATCGACTATTATACTTACAGCAAGTATCAGCAAAAGCAAAATAAAATATACAAAAACAGCACAGTATCACACCTGCGC